ACTTATGATAAATTACTGGATAAGTTTACAAGGACATAAAGAAGAAAATCATCCAGCAGTAAAAAATATTAAAGCCTTGTTGGGAAAGAGGAAAAGTTGACTATTTTGCTTGGGCAGCAAATAAATGTATTCAAGAAATGGAAATACAGGACAAGAATTATTGTGCTGCAGTGCCCTATTCAGCTACTCCTTTTTGGATATTTCCACATATATATGTTGATATAAACATACATAAAGAAATGCAGATTAATAAAAGTAATGACTGGATAAAATTAGTAAATAATAGAATAAAGAGTATTGTTATATTTACGGATGTGTCAAAGGAAGTAGTTTCAGGTAAAACAGGATTTGTTTATGTAATTCTGGAGTTGAACATACATGAAACAAAGAACATCTGATCATTTAGCAGTTTACACAGTAGAAATGTTTGTAATTCTGATGGCATTACAGTGGGTAGAACAAAATAAAATAAGAAGAGTACTTATACGTATGTTCACATTCATTGTCATCTAATTGTCAATTTCTCATCTGAAAGTCACAGAACTTGTTTATGAAATACATGAAATCATATTTAGACTTTTACAGTTACAAATAATAGTTAGATTTATGTGGGTACCTGCTCATAAAGATATAGAAACATGGCAGATTATTTAGCTAAACAATCTTTAAAACAAGATAGAGTTATGAATATTGCATTTAATAAATATGAAATGAAATCTATTATTAAGAAACAAATAATATCTGAATGGCAGAAGATTTGGGAGGAGAATAATAAAGGTCGTCATTTGTTTAAAATAAAGCAGAAAGTTGGAAAAATGGAAATAATAGGAAGAAATTAAAAAGAACAAGTAATAATGACAAAGTTATGATTGGGACACACAGGTTTGAATAAAACATTACATTAATTAGACAAACACCCAACAGGACACTGTGAATGTGATAAAGACATGGAAACAGTGGAACATGTAGTCATACACTGTGAAAAATATAAGAGTCGAGAAAAGTTAAAACAAGAATCAAAATATATGATATAGAGATATTAAAAGTGGAAAAGGTATTATTAGTTAAACATGAAAAGATAAATAGTCAAAAAAAATCAAAGAAGAAGAAGAAGAAGAAGAAGAAGAAGAAGAAGAAGAAGAAGAAGAAGAAGAAGAAGAAGCAGCAGAAGAAGAGTTTTTCTGCCATCTTGTGGTCACAGTCGTGCTGGTAGAAAGTTGTTGCGCTACAACAGCAGCAGTAGCAGCTAGGCAGCAGCTGTAGCTCAGAAAGTGTGTCCACTCACCGATGACCCGGACAAACACCGGACAAACATGGCTCTGCTCACTCAATGATACTTGTTTGCGTAGTTTACCTAATCTTTACCGTCAAGGCTCCGTGGAGCGGTTCCTGAATCTGAAAGAAGCGCAGTAACTCAACTCTCGGTGAGTTGCCATGCTAAGTGTGGGTTTGGCTAATTCCGTCAACTAATGTACCTGGTTACTACTTTAAACATTCTGGGCTCATATGCTAATTAGCCTAATATAATTGTATTGGGCACAGATGGCTCTAAAAGAATAAACACAGGCAGCGTTTCCTTCGACTTTTCATTTTTCAGTAAAGCTAAGTTGAGTTATTAGCGTTTAGCACGAATTAGCATATAGCATTAGCCGGCTAACTTCCGGAGCAGGTCTTCTCTGGTAGCGGTCCTTTTACACAGTTAGAATAGATTCGATGAAGTAGTTGTGTTATTTATGACAGTTTGTTGTTATCAGTGCATAGTTTACTTGTGTAAAATGTGTGTCAAAATGAGCCACTTGTTGTTTATCTCCACAGGACAGCAGTGCTTTTACGGGTCAGTTTCAATGTGAAATTTAAACTCGTGTGTTTTAGTGTTGTTATCAAATGACTATTCTGACATTAATTAATTAATTTAATTAATTAACAAAACCATCATTGGTTCATTCAGATTATTTGCCTCCATTTTTGTGCAAAGCGATTAAACCTATAGAAAACTTGATCAAAACTCAAGAAGTATATAAAATTACAATAAATTTTAGTGGCATTATAAAGAATTAGGACAAAGAAAAAGGCCAGTCCCTGTTTATATA